CCTTCCCCTTCGCACCCTGTCATACCCCCAAGCAAATAAAGCCTGGAGCAAAAACTGGCTCCTGAGAAAATCCCGTCTATACAATTTTCATGCAGTGAAGTCTCCCAGTCCACCTGCTGGGTGCCAGTCATCGCTGTTAAGCCAGGGCTTAAGGTGCTGGCTGTGTGATTTGGGGTACGTTCCCTCATGCTCACGGGTATAGCTGCTGTGCTGGTCCATCTCCTTGAGGGTCCTTCCCTCTCCTGTTCCAAACTTGACGTCCTTCTCGGGGGCAGAATACTGGAAGTACCACGGTGTCCAGAAGAACAAACACATCTGTCTGTCTGTCTGTCTGTCTTGTAAGGTATGCAGCCAGAGTACTCCTCAGAAGTGAGGCTGGTGAGACAGTCTCACGGACATTGGGCCTGGTATCAGGAGTGCCCAGTCCTGGAGAAGGACATTATTGTCTGGTAGGAGGTTTGAAAAAGCGACAGAGCCTCAAGGGGATGGAGGGACACAGCGACTGTCGCAATTGGCGCTAACGGAACAACCGCGTGCACAGCGTAGGGCCAGGCAGGGCTCTGTTCTTGGGTGTGTAGGCTTGTGGTGAGTCAGCACCCGAGTTGAGGTGACTCAGACATTATATAACTAACTCCAAGCCACACAGCCAGCATGTTAAGCCCTGACTTAACAGCGATGACTGCCACCAGCAGGTGAGCGGGGACGTCGCTCCGTGAAAGCTCAGCACGGATGGGTCCACGCGCATATGACGAACCATTAGGGTTACGCCAGTCAGGGTAAGACCCACAGCGACGCAGCAGGCAGGCTCTGCAGGAAGGTTTTTATGTGGGAAATGTTCTATATGTCACCCCAAACCCTTTAAAATAAGTACCCTTATAGCTGCATTTTTCAGGTGAGGAAACAGGCAAGAACAGGTGAAATCATAGTCAATAAAGGGCACAGCTGGGAACCGAACTGAGCAACTACCTGTACACAGTGCCAGGGCCTAGGATGCCTGGCCATCTTCCGGCAGGGCAGGGGCAGGCTGGCTGGGAACACCTGCTTGGGAACTGGAGGGGCACAGCCTCTCCTGCTGGTCCTGAGCCACTGTGCCAGGGGGACAGGCGCTCCAGGTGGCCAGCCTGGCCTCAGCTAGCCCAGCCCAGGGCAGGGTTGGGGGTGGGAGACTGATTGGAGCCCCCTTCTCCCCTGCAGTGGGAGAGGATGATAGTGGGGGCTGTGAGGTGAACGGACACCGGTACCAGGACGGGGAGTCCTTCCAGCCCCACTGCCGGACCCACTGCCTCTGTGAGGATGGCGGGGTCACCTGCGTGCCACTCTGCAGTGAGGACATCCAGCTGCCCAGCTGGGACTGCCCCCAGCCCCGCCGGGTGGAGGTCCCAGGCAAATGCTGCCCCGAGTGGGTCTGCACCCAGGCCCTGGGGGCCCAGCCCCTCCCAGCCCGAGGTGAGTGCTGGCTGGGCTCAGCTCTGGGGTGGGACCTTGGGGACAGCAGGGGTCCAGCAGGGTGAGGGGAGATGAAGGTAAGGGGGGCAAGTGGAGTGATACCAACCAGGCCCCTGGAACTGACGGAATTAGCAGCTGAAGTCTGGGTGTCATTTTCCATCTTGTCCTCACTGCCATTGGCTCATAGCGCCCCCCCACCCCTGCAGGGTTTCCCAGACTGTAACTCTTCACGGGAGGAGAAAGCTTCGGGCTGTCGATTCAAATCATTTAACAAGTTCAACATAGTTCACTGCCCTGATTACCTGGTCACGTAAAAAAGGAGGGAGGAAGTATTTTAAAAAATACCAAAAAGTAGTTTATTATTTCATACAGTTAATACTTAAGTAAGAACAATAAAAGAGGTCCACAAGATTAGACTACAAGAAAGAGTTTTAAGAACGCAAAAGAATGAAACTGTGATTCAGGATATTTCCATATTGCTTCTTGAGTGGTGGCCTCATTGGCAGCAGCCTTTGCTGTTATCCCAGCATCCTCGGCTGTGTGATTGATCCTTCACCACGGTAAGAGTAGGATTCCACTCCTGTAGAGAAAGGCCAATTAGACAATAGTTCTTGTACTTGATGGATCAGAAAGAGGCGATGTCTCTTCCCTGAACATATTCTGTTCATGTTTGAAAAACCTCTTTCCACATCAGCTGAACTTACAGCAATGGTTCTGACACTGTTTTAGCTCTTTGAACACTTTTCCTCACGCTATCTCGTGGCAGCGTGGGCACAGCACAAAGCTGAAACCAAAGGCAGAGCGCCACCCTCTGGTGGTTTGGCACTTTTCTTTCTTGATTAAAAAAATCATTTTATTGAGGGCTCCTACAGCTCTTATCACAATCCATACATACATTGTGTCAAGCACATTTGTACATTTGTTGCTCTCATCATTCTCAAAGCATTTTCCTTCTACTTAAGCCCTTGACATCAGCTCCTCCATGAATCCTTTATAATCTACAAATCATTATTTCTTTTCATGTCTTACACTGACTGCTGTCTCCCTCCACACACTTTTCTGTTGTCTGTCCCCCTAGGAGGGTGTTATATGTAGATCATTGTGATCAGTTCCCCCTTTCTACCCCCCACCTTCCCCTTCCCCTCCTGGTATCGCTACTGAGGGGTTTATCTGTCCTGGATTCCCTGTGTTTCCAGCTCTTATCTGTACCCATGTACATGCTCTGGTCTAGCTGGATTTGTAAGGTAGAATTGGGGTCATGATAGTGGGGGGAGGAAGCATTAAAGAACTAGAGGAAAGTTGTATGTTTCATCAGTGCTATACTGCACCCTGACTGGTTCGTCTTTTCCTTGTGGTCTTTCTGTAAGGGGAGCTCCAATTGTCTAAAGATGGGCTTTGGGTCTCCACTCCACACTCTCCCTCATTCACATTGATATGATTTTTTGTTCTGAGTCTTTGATGCCTGATACCTGATCCCATAGACACCTCGTGATCACACAGGCTGGTGTGCTTCTTCCATGTGGGCTTTGTTGCTTCTGAGCTAGATGGTCACTTGTTTATCTTCAGGCCTTTAAGACCCCAGACGCTATATCTTTTGATAGCCGGGCACCATCTGCTTTCTTCACCACATTTGCTTATGCACCCACTTTGTCTTCAGGGATGATCGTGTCAGGAAGGTGAGCATCACAGAATGCCTGGTTATTAGAACAAAGGGTTCTTGGGTTGAGGGAGGACTTGAGTAGAGGCCCAGGGGAAAGACGAGGCTCTACTCTCCCAAAGAGTCACAGTCTCAAAAACCTACCAGGGCAGTTAGTTCTCCCTCATCCTGCAGGGTCACTATGAGTCAGAATCCAATCCATGGCAGTGGGGGTGGAGGGTGGGGGTGGAGTGAATGTGTGGAGATGGATGTGCACACGTGCATGCATGCGATAAGTGTAAAAACAACCAATATGTCGATAAGCTCTGCATGGTGTGTGCATGCACCTGTAGAGAAGTAGAGGGAAGTACAGAGGTATAAGAAACGCATGCATCTATACAGCACACAGGTTTGTATCAAACAGGATTATCTCGGGACCAAGCAGGTGGGCTGATTTGACTGCCCAGCCCTCATCTTCCTTCTTCCCCTACAGAAGCCCACTTGTCCGGCCGTGAGCTTCCCCTGCTCCCGGGCAGGCCCTGTCCAGAATGGAGCACAGCCTGGGGCCCCTGCTCGACCACCTGCGGGCTGGGCGTGGCCACGAGGGTGTCCAATCAGAACCGCTTCTGCCGACTGGAGACCCAGCGCCGCCTGTGCTTTCCGGGGCCCTGCCCCGTGACCAGGGGACGCAGCCCGTGGAACCGAGCCGTTTAGAGACACGGTCGGTGCCCACGGTCCTCAGCAGGAAGTGCCCGGGCTCAAGCCGATGGCAGACGGCCCCGCCCCGTGCCCTGGACCACAGGTAACAATCCGGCTTGGATCCACCCCGCAGGCCCTGGAGGACAAGAATATTTACGCGGCAGCTGGCTGGGGGAGAGGGGAGTCTACCCTAGTCCCTCTCCTCTAATTGACAGACTGGGTGGCTTGCCATGACTTCCAGGGCTTTCTGGTCCATTCCTTGGCCCCTCTCATCCTTCACGCCCATGGCTGGCATGCCTCTCCATTTTCCCCTGGGAGGCGAGGGTCCAACCAGATCCTTCACTAATTAGGCAGGGGTGGGTGCTGGGCTGGCTGACACCCCGAATCTCCTGCTTCCTTTTCTAGAATTAAATAGTCCCTGAATACCAGCTCCTGCCAGCACGTGTGCATCAGGCTTTTTCCACCAGAGAAAGCCCCTCTCATCGGGGACGAAGTCCTTTGTGACGACCGTGAGGTGAAAGGGTGCTGTCTTAAAGAAAGTAGAAACACGCGGCTTCGAGAAACCATTAAACGCACTTTGTAATAAGAGGAATGACCCTTTCTTGAGCACCTCCCCTGGGCCAGTGCTGAGTAAGACACCTTGTACCAGACTAAGTGCCAGACTATTGCCACCAGGGCTAGTTCTCGCGCGCGGGCACATGCACACACGCGCGCATGCGCGCGCGCGCATAGCTTCTTCCAAACACGTGTTCAAGCTCCTCTCAGGGGTCAGCTGGCCTCTTCAGACAAGCTCTCTCAGTAGAACACCTGTCTCCGTCTCCCTGGTGGCATGGGGGTTATGCCTTGGGCTGTTAGCTGCAAGGTCAGCAGTTTGAAACCACCAGCCGCTCCTTAGGAGAAAGACGAGGCTTTATACTCCTGTGAAGTGTTCGTCTCAGAAACCCACAAAGGGGAGTGGGACCCTCTCCTGGAGGGTGAGTGGAGGCCTGCTGGGTTGGCATCGACTTGATGGCAGTGAGTGGTTTTGTCTTGTGTTGCTTTCCTCGGGTCTCTTCAAAACTGTGGCTTTCAAGGGGACCGTTATTATTATTATTATTATTATTATTATTATTATTTTAAATTGAAGAAACACTGTGTCCTCCTCCACAGTCTCCCCGAATTCATTGAAAAATAAGAACAGTACAGTATTTCCATCCCGCCACCAAGGCATTAGAAGACACGCTTGATATTTACATAGAGGGCGTGTCTTCTGCCGGATCCTGCTGTTGTTAGGCCCCGCCCAGTGGGTGCCAACTCACAGGGACCCAATGCACAACCGAATGAACCACTGTCCGGTCCTGCAGTGTCCTCACAGTGGTGCTTCTGTCTGAGCCCATCATGGCGGCCACTGTGCCCACCCATCTTGCCGAGGGCCTTCCTTCTTTTTCTGCTGCCCCTCCACCTGACCACCCACGACGTCCTCCTGCAGGGACCAGTCTCTCCTGGTCACATGTCCAAAGTACGTGAGACAAAGTCTTGGTCCCTCCGCTTTTAAGGAGCCTTCTCCTGGCCTCCTGTCAACCTGCATAAATAGTTGTCACATGCCAGACTCGGTGCTAAACACCTTCTACGAATGGACTCATTTGGGCCTCACAAGAACCTGTTGGAGAGTTATGACACCCACTCCTTGCTGGTCAACATGGTCTGGCTCCGTTGAACAACATCCAGTTATTAAAAATGGAGGGTGATCACATCAGACCCTACCATGGGCGGTGGCTGCATCATTTCCTGGCAAGCCCTGAGAACCACAGTCCAGCCTGGATGACCCATAACCTTAAATGAGCAAGAGGCAGCTTTTAATGCAGCGGTTCTCAACCTTCCTCATGCCGTGATCCTTTCATACAGCTCCTCATGTGGTGGTGACCCTCCGACCATAAAATTATTTTCGTTGCTACTTCATCACTATCATTTTGCTACTGTTATGAGTTGGGCGACCTCCATGAAAGGTTGAGAACCGCTGTTTTACTGTCTTACAACCCCGGGCCCTCCGTGACTGTGGTACCTCGGCCTGCCAAAAGACCACAGCGGCTGCGTCTCAGCTGCCGGTACTCGCTGTCCCCAAAGGTCGAAATAATCCATTCTTTTAGGAGAGAGACAGGAGGGAGATCTTATCAGGGAAAAATGCCCGGGCCCTCTGGCCTTTTGGAAAATTACTGAGCTATATTCTAACTCTAACAACCAATCCCTTAAGATCCCACGAGGCCTGGAGACCAACGGGGAGGGGGGAACCTGCTTGGACTCTGTGCTGGAGGAGCCCTGGGAGCCAATGGTTCAGTTGGAAGGTTGGCGGTGCCTCCAAACACGGGGTCTGGGGCTCTGCTCCGAGAGGTCACAGCCTTGCAGACCCAGGGGAGCGGTTCTCCCCCGACACCCTGGGGCACCGGGAGTGAGAGTGAACTTGACAGCAGCCAATAAGTCAGCCCTGAGAGCTTCTCCACACACACCGTCGGCCAGTCTTCATGAGGACCGCCCCCCCCCACACCCCCCACACCCCCGTCAGGCAGGCACGTTCGCCTCCATGTTACAGAAGGACACGGAGGCACTGCCAGGGGAGGCCACTCGCCCACCATGGAAACGGGCCCGTTCAGCTCTCGTTTTCTTTCCTCATCTTTCTGCCGACATACAAGTGCCACCGTCAAGCATGGGGCTGCTAACCCAAACGCTGCCGGTTTGAACCCACCTCCCGGCTCCGTAGAAACAAGCCCTGGTGATCAGGCTTCTGTCCCGAGCTTGTCGTTGATCATGGCTGTCCAGTCCTGACCGACTCACAGGGCCCCGTGGAAGACCCTGTGTCAGAGCAAAGCGTGGCCTGGTCCTCCACTGCCCTCCCAACCCATGGCTGCAGCCCCCGGTCCAGCCTTCTCACTTAGGGTCTTCTTCCTTCGCTGCCCCTCGACGTCACCAAGGACCGACTGCTCCCTCCTGGTCACATGCCCTGAAGTATGGGAGATGATGTGTCAGTATCCTTGCTTCGAAGGAGCATTCTGGCTGTCCTTCCTCGGGCTGCCAGGCAGGAGCCAGATGACAGTGCAGGAGGCCCACAGGGTAGTTCCACTCTCCACCTGGGTCACTGCGAGCCAGAGTCGACTACTCAACCAACCGCATCCAACAACACCCCCTGACACAGGTGGTCTTAGAAGTGAGTTCTCTCTCTCTCTTTCTCTATAGATCTATAGATAGATAGAAGTAGGCAGGTAGACAGATAAATAGATAGATAGAGGTAGGTAGATAGGTAGGTAGGTAGGTAGGTAGGTAGGTAGGTAGGTAGATAGATAGATAGATAGATAGATAGAGGTAAGTAGACAGAT